AGGGGGCGGGCTGGGGCTGCTCGGGCACCCCGGGAGCCTCACGCTCCGGCCGGCTCGGAGGCGGCTCCTCGCACCGCTCCCCCGGGGGGCTTCTCCCAGGGGATGAGGCATTACACCTAACGGCTCGGGGGGCTCCGCACCCGGAGCCGCTCCCGCAGGTCGGCGGTGCCCCCGCGGCGTTGTACCCCCCGTGCCTGCGGGCTGCACCCCACAAGCGTGCCTCGAGCTGGCCGTGCCTCTTCGTGTCTCCCCTCTCCGCAGAGGTGTTCGGGGATAGCCGCGACACGCCGTGCTTCACCCGAGGTGCCTGTGGCGTTTTACAGACGCGTTTCGGAGTTTGGCGATTTGCAGATAACAAAGTCTGGGGAAGTGTTTGGCTGACTCCCATAAACGAAAAAGGTGTGAGGGTTTGAATCTGGCCATTGTATTACCTAAAAACTTGGTGGCGGAAACTTAGCGGCATCCCGAGGCTCAGACAGTTACCATGGGTGTAATGTCTGTAATGTCTTCTCCTACCTCTGGAGTTCAGGGCCTGATCCTGGAGTCTTGTAAGTACAAATTCTAGTTCTGTACTTCCAGGAGTGTTCACAGAGGGAAGAGCTGTGGGATTGTGTTCGGGGTTACTGGAGTCTGTTGAATTTCAAATGAACTCTGGCTCTCCTCTCGGTACAGAAGGACTCCTTATGCTGTTTTCCGTAGTCACTTTGATGCAAAACCGAGTGTGAAGCATGAGCATTATGAGTTACTGAATTTTGCATAAGCAAAAAAAGGTGTCTGAAATACTGTGCAAGATACAGAGAATCGGGTCCAGAGCCTGAAGGCAAAAAACTTAAATGCATCCCACTGGTTCTGAATGAAATGCAAATAAGGGGAAGCGATTGTAGTGGCTGAGAAATACCAGCTCTTTGAACTGGCACAGATAAATTCAGTATGTGGGAAGCCTCCTGAGAGAGCACCACACTGAAATGATTGAGAGTTATAATATTGGAAACTTAATGTATAGATTTGATGTGTTTCTGCTTCTCAGCTTTGTGGTGAGAGAGAAGGAGGAGGGAAGAAATCCTGTCTATAAGAAGTTGATTTAAAAAAAAAAAAAAAAAAAGAACCTAAACTGTAGGTAATCAAGGACAAATACAAATAAATTACTGACAGGGTAATTAATCTTTTCAAAGAATGATGCTAGCAGAGTGGCTTAGGGGGCACAATTGCACTAGGAAGAGTTCTTTTCAAACAAGTATGACCATTCTTTTAACATGAGTGGAAGTTGACTGCGAGATCATTTCAGAGGTCTGCTTTTCTTTTAATATAATCATCTAGATTATTTATCTAAAGTGTGGGGTTTTTTTTCTGAATTTCCCACCAAGCTTTTCAAAAAGTTAAACTAATTGCTAGGTAGTGTGCACAAGAATACAGTCAAGGAGATAAGCAAGGAGACTTTCTTATTATTAGCTAACTTCAATAATCAGCTAAATATACTTTAGCTGTGCCACAGGCTTATTCCAAGGATCATCTAGAGGAGAACAGCAGCAGTTTGTGCCTGTAAATATTTGTGTTTGTGAAATGTTAGCATGGTCTAAATAACTTAAAAAGAGAAAAAGCCCTTAAAGTTTATAGTTATATAAATTTATTCATTTATTCTCATCCCTACTTAGGACTCCTGTTTCAGTGTTGAAATGGTCTTCCATAATCATGCACATATGGAATGTTGAATAAGATTAGCAACATAAATCTCTGCTGCTTTATAAGTTTTACCCAGCTGCTTGGTGATTTCACAGCTGCTTCTGTAGTTGATAACAATTTCCATCGCTCTGCTTTCTGCAGAGTTGTCACACTGCTCTGCTGCAGATTCTGCTCTGTCCCTATTTGAGTTATGAATCTTGTTGATGAACAACAGTAAATATAATGGATTTATGTTTATTACAGTGAGTTTTTGGACTTGGTTTGTTTGCCTTTTTTTTTTTTTTTCTTTTTTTCCTCAGAGGAGTTTTCAGGATTTTATTACTTAGGTTTTGTTATAGTAGAGTAGATTTAAAAGGGGGTTTTAGTGGGAAGTGTGTTGTCACTGTCAGTTTACAGATAGGAAAACTAAGGCACAGGGAGATAAAGTGATTTGCTCAAAGAAACTGGAGACATAGAAGAGACAAATACCCAAGTATTCTGAGTCATGGTTCACATAGGTGCAATGGAAATGAAATTAAATTAGATTTTTAACTATAGAAATTCATGTGCTTTACCTTTTCCTGCCTAGCTCTTTCTGGATGACTTGCCTGGGTTGTGACCCTCATCATCAAGACGTCACATCATCAAAGGAAAATGTTACATAGGGCCAGAAATGGGTGGCTGCTGCCAAGAGAAGAGGCAGAAACCACTAGGAGAGTCAGAGGAAGAACATCTCCTGCTTCAGTTAGGTTAGGAGCAGGAGTCAGCGTATAGCAGGAGCTTTTCCATGCAGGAGTTTTGTTCTTAAGAAGCTGATAAATATCCAACAACTTTTCTTGTAGGAAACTTCCATGCTAGAATATTGTCACCTCCAGTTCATCGTTCAGCAACATCTGACACTTCAAAGCCTGGAGCGGCTCTTACTGCTGCATGACTCTGCCTTGAATTGACATATGAGACATCTGAAGCAGTATTCCTCTGCTTACTGAGCCAAGGGGCTTGTTGTGATGGATTTCTCATGGACCTGGTAAGTGTGCATTGCCAATGGATTTCTTGTTTTTTCACTAAATCTCAACTTATGCTTGTTAGTGGGTAAAATATTCCTCTCCCCTTTACCCAGTATTAGCCACAGATTGCCACAGAAACACATTCTTTCTCCAAGTCAAAGTAGCTCCTTAAGACAGTACTTCCAGTATGATTAGTGAGAGGATGCTGGTATTGCCGGGTATCTTTGCCTAAATTTCTTACCCTGAAACTTGAACCAAGTCACCTGTTGGCATAAGTCAGAAGTGACTTTGCTGGCAATAAGGACCTACTGCCCTATTCTAGGGCTGAATACCTTTGCTCACACTTCAAATAGGTTCTGTTGTTTATTTAACTTACAGTATTTCAATAGAGGTTTGTTTATTTGTTTTATGTGAATGCCTGTCTGCTTACATCCTATTACAGGCAAGAACCATGCTCCTCAGAAGTCACCAGGTATTTTGCCATTGACTTCATTTTTGTAGTTTAGGAGAATTTTTTAAAAATTCATAGTTTTGGCTGTATAAATATATCTTCTTTCTTAGTAAATCCCTGTACAAGATGTCTAAGAGATTTAATGTTCATTGGGGATGTATCTGAAGCAGAGGTTCAAGGTCTCTAGAGATAGGAGTGAATATGCTTTGATTGAATGTTAAAGTTTTTCAGAATAATCATGTTTACAATGAGCCAAATCCAAGCCTTTTCAAGTTATTGGGAAGTTTTCCTGTTTCTGTGACTGTTAGAGTATTTGGACTTTTGAATAGTTATTACAACATATTTGGAACTGAGAGATCTTTTATATGGAAAATTAAAATTATTTCCTCCCTCAAATTTAATAATATAAAATGTTGAACAAATTGACTAAGGGTAGGATCAAAAAAAGGTGACATTTGGGGACCATATTTTCCTGTTGTGCTGAACTTATGTAACGTTTTATGGATAAGTATAATAATACAACAACATAATGCCACCAGTGTGAGTCTCACTGCCAAGTCAGTCATTATTGAAAATGCGGAACTTGGGCTCAATCCATGTGGGGACAGATCGATGGTGCTCTAGAGCAACGCCGTGGCTTTCCTGGGCTCTTTCAACTGATATAAAAGGTGCTTAATCATGTGTTATGATTCAAAGGGCAAAGCAACAGAATCTAGGATGTCTGAGGTGTCAGCATGGATCTATTTGCTTTGTCTGATATGCACTGATCAAATCCCCTTCCTGACCTTGGAGATACCAAGTACCTTCACAGAAACACACAGAATTGTGGGGCAGCTGTGGCTGGACGGGGCCTCCGGAGGTCATCTGGCACAGCCCCTGTCCCTCTCATAGGGTCACCTGAAGAAGGCTGCCCAGGACTGCATCCAGACGGCTTTTGAATATCTCCAAGGATGTAGACTCCAAAACCTCCCTGGGCAACCTGTTCCAGTGCTCAGTCACCCTTGCAGTAAAAATTGTTTCCTGATGTTCAGACAGAACCTCCTGTGTTTCAGTTTGTGCTCATTGCTCTCCTGTTGTCAGGGTGTGCGCTCAGTGGGCGCCCGGCTGTGTTGTGCTCAGCATTGTCACGAGGGAGGGAAAGGCTGCTGGGTCTGGTAGCTGCCAAGCCCCTTGCAGGATTGAGCCCTGAAGACAGCTGTGTACAGCAAGATATAATACTGAGATGAGCACTCTTCCTTAGGGCAGTGGAACAAAGCTTTGTCAAACCAGATCTGAACTTTCCTTCTCTCATTAGGGTTCAAAGAAACTCCAATACAAACTCTCTGACTAGATACAGAGTGTAGCCTGTTTGTGCATGTGTGTTTAAAAATAGTGAAATCCTCTTTCTCACAAAACACACAGTCAGTTATATGAGGCACTGAGATACAAACCCAAGGGCTCTCTACAATGGTCAAATATATCTTAGCAACAAGGGTGGGAGTGGTGGGAAAGGAAAAGGAGAATATAAGTATCTGGCAATTAACTTCCTAGTCACAGATGTGAAGGTGATAAAAGTGATAAAAGCATTACTGCATTGCCAACGCTCTTCCTTGTTCTGTGAGCTGCATATCATGCTGTTCCTAAGAGCAAAAGCTACACAGTCTGTGGTGGAGGAGTCCTGTGAGCTACTCGCAGGAGGAAAACCCAGTGGTTCCCCAGTATCCCAGTCTCAGTTGTATGTGGTGGGGTGCACTGAGCACACAGCCTGGTCCAGGGCAGCACCGCCGTGTAGCCTCAGCACGGTCAGAGGCTCAGTGTGGCCCCCAGGGCAGTCCCCATGCCACCACAGTCCCAGTGAGGTGGCCAAGGTCTGTCAGGGCAGCCTGTAGTGGTGGAGAGCCATGCCTCGTCCTGCTCTGATCAGGGGGACTCCGGTTAAGCACTGGGCTCCATGGAGCCAAAAGCTATTTTGCCTCACAGTGCAGATGCAGTCAAGCTGTCCATGCTGCCTGGAGGACTGAGAGTGTGTGGACAATATGGAGACAGGAGGAACACAGCCTACTGTAACTGAGTGAATAGGACTGTAAATCTCCCTCCTACATAGCATCATGGATGTGGTTGCATGGACTTATAGGGGACCTCTTACTTTTGCATTAAGCCAATTAAATGGCAAGCTGACAGTCTGGCCTTGATGTTGTTCTAACAGTAGGTTACAGCTGGTGTTTGCTGAGTGCAAGGAACTCTCTTCATCCCCATTCTCCCCACATCCACACCTAGTCATGACCATTGGTGTCTGTCTTTGCAACTCTGTCTTTGGACTAGATGATTTTCAAGGTCTTTTCCAACCTAGATGATTCTGTGACTCTGTTCTGTCTAGCACTTACACACATGCTGATGACTATTGTAAGAACTGATTCAGATCCTCCACAATCAGTAGTGTTACAATTAAGCTTGTGCATAAATCCATGTGGGGTCAGAGTGTCTGCTCGTTTGCCATCCTGAGTGGAACACTTCTGTGTCACATTAACGGTAACATCTCATATTGAACTCACGCTCTTCTCTCCACAGTGCAATGTGTGTTCAGCAGAGCCTGCTCTAGCCTAAGAACTGACCAAGTCAAGACAGTCAAGATGACAAACGAACCTATTAAAGAGATTCTGGGCGCTCCAAAGCATCCTGATTCTGTAACCACAGAGAAGAGTAATAACAATGACTGTGTGATAACCACCATCCCTCTTGTCAGTGAATGCCAGCTGACTGCAGCAACAGGGGGAGCAGAACTCTCCTGTTACCGCTGTACCATTCCCTTCGGTGTGGTTATCCTCATAGCCGGCATTGTGGTTACTGCTGTGGCATACAGCTTCAATTCCCATGGATCAATCATCTCAGTGTTTGGATTAGTCCTCTTGTCATCAGGACTCCTTTTGCTGGCTTCTAGTGCAGTGTGCTGGAAAATCAGGCAGCAAAACAAGAAAGCAAAGAGGCGGGAGAGCCAGACGGCGCTTGTGGCAAATCAGCGAACCTTGTTTGGTTAAAGAGAACCCAGAGAAGGCTGGCCAGAAGACAGAACCTTTGTAAGTCAACTTGACTATTTATCAATAGGAGGGATTGCAGGTTTTAATTTAACTTTGGAAATGAACTGAAATGAAAACAGGATGGATTAAGAAATACTCTTAAAAACTCTGCAACTGCTCATAATATTTTTCTTACTGCAGACTTGGTAGTGATTCTTTCCGGGATGGAGGAGAAAACACTTTTCCTTCACAGAAAACAGTGTCGTCATAACTGCAATCATCATAACTGCATTCTTCAACATGCTGATTATGTTGGAAAGGGAGCTTGTGAGAACTAAGAAAATAATTCGAACTGACTTGAAATGCCAGAGATCTCCTTAATACACACACTGTGACATTTGACCAAGGGAGAAGTCACAGCATTTGAAGTGACTACAAGGCCAGATTATCTGTGACTTAATTTGTAGCTCAAAAAAAAAAAAAAAAGCAATAGCAACCAACCACACTGCAGATTGCTCAATAAGCTGATTCTTATATTTTATGTAACTTTCCCCTTCCAATATCTGTGGTACTTTCCCCCATTTTTAAACGAACTAATATTAATTTTGTTTTACTATTGAATAGAAATAGGTAGAAATGTGTAATTATATTGTCTAACCTTAATAACGAGGTATGATTATAGCTTAAAACATGAGATTTTTTTTTGTAAATGAAAGTGGTCAGGTTTAGCACTTTTGATTATTTTGCTATAAAATTAAAAAGTAAATTTCATTAAAATAATATTCAGTGCTGCTAGACCTTTAGAAAATCTTTTTTTTATTGCTATCAAGATAGCTTATATCTTCAACTTTGACTGCTTTGTGATTCTGTTCTTGTAAAACACCAGCTGTGACAATAACTGTGAACATATGTACTGCTGATCTCTTCCAAAAATCAATGTAGACTGTGGATTTTGGTTTGATAGTCCATCCCTCTTGCAGCTTGATTAACAACTCAGTTATTGAAAAATCATAATGGTCAGTTCTGCAAACACTTACTGGCATAGTCAGTTTTAGACACAACTATTAATAATTGCTTGTGGAAGCAAAGTCATCTGTGTAGTAAGTGTTTGCTGAATGAGCTTTGGGATTACAAAATTTTTATGAAAAGCAGGTGCCAAGTGTCCCCCATGTGTGTCTGAAATGTTTGATTCTGTAACTCTTGTGTTCCAGAGGTCTTCCAGCTTTTCTCAGGTAATGAATAACTGAGGGGCTGGTCCCAAATTGAGACCAGCAGACCAGAACATTATTTCTTCATCTGTATCTTGAAGGACAAGTGGTGCTGAGCCAAGTCACAGGCTTGCACCCCAGCATGTATGTGGGTGGCAGAAGGCAGAGGCTCTGCATCGAGTCCTCTTTCTTTTGATTTCTCTCTTACTTTCTCCAGACTCAAACGGGCTGGATGTGATTTTTGCTTTCCACTGCTGCAGTGAGCAAGGCCTGTGCTAGTGTGCCTCCTCTTTGCCCTCGGGAGCCTCTGGCACCCACCACGGCTGTGGCGATGCCACTGCAGAGCACACCTGCCCGACGGGTGCTGCAGGGGAGAGCCTTCTGCGGGCCATCCTGGAGCCCTGCGCTTCTCCTCCTGAAAGCACCCAGGCACTCTGGCTTAGGTGCTTCCTTTTCCTCTGCCCTCCGTGGTTTAAGCTTGTTACATCCATAACTTATCCCCGGATTTGCAAAATGCACTTCGTGTTTTAAATAGAGCCAGCTATATGTATGGGAGGGGCTGTTTGGAGTCAGTATTTGCGTTGCCACACTCTGTGGTTACCAGACGCTATAATAAAATCACTTGCATCAGAGGAAAGCTGACAACACATTTTAGCACTTCCATAGCACTAACTTAATCATGGCAGGAAGCTTTCCTGCTGCTAGGAGAACATGTTGCGTCACCAGAACATCTGACACCGGTGTCTAATGTCAATCACTTTGCTTAAGGTCATTAAAAATATTAGGGTGTCCCCTTACGGTGTACAGGTTTTGCATGAGTGACAATTCATGGGAAATGCATAGCATGATAAATAATGGAACAGGTGGACTAAAGTGGTGTCTTTCCTGTTTAAAATGAGAAAAGTGATTGACATTAGCAAAGCTGGATAAGCTAAATAGGGCTGCTTATTTTTTTTCCCCTGGGAACACAATAGTTTTTCTGACTATTTCTTCCCCCTCCCCATTTCTTTTTCCTCAGTGGAATTTTGCGGGCTGCCAAGGAGAGAATTGTAGGGGCTGTAGAGATGCAGTGATTTCCACTACACACGTGTAGCAGCTCAGCCCCTTGATTCCCAGGCCGAGCCCAGAGCAGAAGCAGCCTGTTGCTCTCTTCAGAAGTCTTTCCCGTACATGAGTCCTCCCTTCACTATTGCTGTGGTACAGCCGAGCTTGAGTAGGGAAGGAAAACAGAGGTACAAGGTGAGGCTCTGCTCCAAGTCAAAAGAAAAGACCAAACTCAGTGGGACAGAGGCAGTGGGACTTTGGGAGCAGTTTTTTCAGGAAGGGTAAATAAGAGCGAGTAAGAGACTCTCTGCTACTACTAGAGGAGATTTCCTTTCACTTATCTCTGTTCTCTTTTATATTTACACTGCATGTAGAAGGACACGGCAGAGTGCCTGCACCACCCTCTGCCTTGCTCATTGTGGGGCATCTAGGCATGAAGGAGTGTGTAAGCAGTGACAGACAGCATTGCAGTGACCCTAGGCATGGTCCCCAAGCATAGCAAAGCTTCACATACAACACGGTGTCCCATAATACCACCTGACAGCTTGAGAGGCCTCTAGTAATATGGGGCTGCCATAGCACACACTGCTGAGCTCAGTAACATCAGCTGTATCCTAGCGAGACAAGGTCCAGGCACATGCAGTGAGTGAAAGCCTTCACAGGAACTCACTCTTGTTTGTCCTTTATTCAGAGAAGCAAAATAGTAACTTTATGGGGAAGGATCCCAGCACCTAGTCCTGGTGTCTGGCAGGAGCAAGGCAAAAGCTGTGAGCAGTTCAGTCAGAGACCTTGTGCTGCTGAGGATGTTTTCACGTTTCATCACTAAATTGCCACATGCCCTTAGAAACTGGTGCAGACTTCTCCACCATGATTTGTGTGCATTGATTTTGGGACAAACTGAAGTAGTAGTAGCATCTTCTCTGAATGACCAAGTATGACATCCAACACAAGTCTCACAGTCTATGTTTTTATTTCCTACAGATCTACACCTTACCTTTTCATTACTATGCTCTCCTCCCTGCACCCCTGGTCCTGGTTTCAAAACAGGAACAAAACATTCATTTTAGCCCTTAAAAACAATCATTCTGGGAGAGGTGCTATGTGAGCACAGTGTGGCAGGCTCAGCACCTTCATTTTTCCAGAAACTGGTGATCTGGTTAATCTGAAATGTTTTTTTACAAGGGTACATTTACAGTGCCTTTACAAGGGTCAACCCCCTCAAACTGGTCAGCTACAAACAGCAAGATTTCTGCTTCAGCTTTTGAACGCCGTGACCTAACCTGGAATGATTTGGGGTTTCACGCCTGGATGCTGGGTCATGCGATCCACCAAGTCTTTGAGACAAAGCCATTTGGAACTCCACAGTTGCTGTTTGGTGTTTCTCATGGGAACCTGAGAGGCAAAAGTCAGCCTGGAGGATGCAACCCTGTGGAGATCACAATGACTTTCCAGTTCAGAAACACCTTCCCTTCTGGTGTGAAAAGGCTTTGAATGCGACAAGTGGTATTTTGGTTCTGGGAGAGGTTGGGTGGGAGCTGATGCAAATTTATTGTCACAACTGCTTGTCTCTCCCTTCCTGAAAGCTCTGGCAGCATTGCGCAAGCAAAATTGCCCTCACAAGGATAGAAAATTATCTAATAGGGGAATTGCGCTGGTGCACCAGGCAAATGTTACAGGGATCTTAAATAATAATTTCAAAACCTAAGCACAGGAAATTGTGTCTGTAACTACACCCTGTATTGCTATTGTACACAAAGCCAGTTATAGCCTGGGACAGTATTTTAAAATAATAATCAGTTTGGTATGACAATGCTTAGTATTTGTTCAAGTCAAAACGCCCAATTTACGATTCCCCAGTCACTTAAACTGTCATGTTTTGTACGTGACTGAGGTTCTAATACCATAATTTGCCAGGTTTAAAAAAAAATAAAAAGAGAGAGAAAGGTTAGTTTCATGGACTTGTGTCAAGAACTAAGTTTCTCTGCCTTGGACACTCGGGAGAGCTCCTGTTATCAAACAATGAATGTACAATATTACTGCAGCTCTACAAAATAGGAACCAGGCTCAGAGTGTGGAATGAAGAAAGGCCTGAGAGTTTCATCAGGATCTGGAAGGGCCAGGCCAGGAACAAGTCCTGTGGAATATCCTGTATTCTTGCCCCAGCTTGGCTTATCCAGAGCCAAAGTCCAGGGCTACTGCTCCTTTAATATTGTTATTAGCATATTATTAGCAGGTTTCACCTAATTCGTTTTTACAATGGGCTCCAAAATAAGAAGAGCAGAACAATATTGGCAGACATAATTTTGCATATGCATTTCCAATACCTCTGATGCTTTTAGTTTGTAGAATGTTTAGCTGTATCACTATAAATCTTTGTCAATTGTAAAGGGCTTTTATACATAAAAGTACATGAATATATCAAGGATGGCACTGTATGATGTGAAAAATTATATAAATCCTGGCAAAACTCTGTGTAGACTAAATCTTAGAGTCTAAACTATATGGGAGAACAATGGTCTTAAACTGCAGAATCAACTTGAATTTTTGGCTTTTATTCAGGTTGTTGATGTCACTATTAACATGACAGAGGACCTAATCCTTCCTCTTGAGAGCAGCCAGTTGGAGTCCTATTGTCCTAACTCATGCATCCAAAAATTTGCATTTGTGGCAAACATGACATTTTTTTTTTTTTTTTTTTTTTTTTTTTGCTTTCTAGAGTAAGAGAAAGAAAGAATTAAACTTTAAAAACAGAGAGGAAAAGATGAAAGGAAGAGAAGAACACAAAACAGCAAATGAACACACAACTACATAAAGTCATGGAGGGACAGTAGAGCCTTACACAAGTGTCTTGTTGAAAGACAGAGACTTTTAAAAATATGTAAGTCTTGTTTCTGATATATCCTTGGCTGTATCCTCAGTTTCATTCTTATAAAATGCCTGAAATCCCCAGGTTAACATCAGTCTTAGATCTCACCTCTTTTTTTTTTTTTCTTGTTTCCTTTTCTGTTTCCCAGGAACCAGGTAGCTCAGCAAAAGGCAGAAGTTTTATTTTTCACCATCTTTTGCAATCTGAAATTAAAATGGCCATGTGGGATCTGCGGAGGCAGTGCCCCCGTGGTTCTGTAAGTTATAAGGCGTTCAGCCACAGTCTCTTGAAGAGGTAGGCGTTATATAGAGGCAAAGATTTCTGTACTGCAGCAAGAGATGTCAGTGAATAATCTGTTTTAAAAAAATAGTAAATAACACCAGAGCAGCCCTTCACCACCTCTTCTCAGCCACGTTCCCTTTCAATCTGAAGGCCCGAGTTTGTGAATAGAGTTAACAGCTTTCCTGGAAAACTGGCCCATGACATTATTTCCTTGTGAACTCCATCCACCTGTCATGTTAGGGCTTGGTGCGACGCCAGCACTGGCAGGAAATAATAGGCAGCAGGATGCTGGTGTGTGTCGATGGCCCTGACCCTCCCATTCCTGAACATGAATAAGCTTCAAGCTCACAAGGCGTCACAGGAGCGCGGCTTCTGGGCCCACAGAAACGCATGGGTGGGATGCACAGCCACTAAAATAACATCCAGCCAGCCCAGCCGCAGCAACAGAGCTGCATGGGAAGACATGGTGTCACATTCTCGTGGCCTGATGCTCTTTGTTCTTTTGCCTGTGCTCTCGCTGTGTTTTGGATAGTACAATGGCTGCTTAACAAAGAGAAGAAAGTACAAAGTATGCCTGTATGTGAATTAGCTGAGATTCCCCAAAGGAACACAAAAGCTTCATTGAACAACTTTCACCACTTCTCAAGGGAAATGCACGGGTGAGGGAACCTCAGCTATATCAGTTTGAAATGGTTTGCAGCTAGCTTTCTCCTGATACTGCACCATTGTCCCTAGGAAAGGTAGTTTAATTCAGTATTTAGCAGGACAAACTCTTGGGAGACTGAACGGTGAATTAGGGAAGCCCAAATCATCCCTTAATGAGACTTGGGTTCAGTTTGTGACGTGGTGCAAACTGATGTGTGTGTTCTTCAAGACTACGCCAGGCAGCCCCTTGTCAATCTGGGTAGTTGGCATCCCCGTATCCTTCACAAACATTGGGCAGAGCATAGAGAGGAGGATAGGAAGACTCCTTATTCCCACTTTCCCCTCTGCCAGACCATGTGTGACAAAATCTGGTTAGGTTCTCAAATGGCAATTCTTCTCTGAGGTACTCAGTATTAATCTGGAATATTAGTCCTCTTGCTCCTCATCTCAGAGCTGTAGGAGATAGCTGTGCTGTCCTGAAGGACCTCTTATTTTTAAACCCAAAGTCACTAGTCCATTTTTTAATATCTTGAGCTGTTCTGTATTGGTATATTAAAAAAAAAAAAAAAGATAGATCATATATACACACACATATGCTTTTTGATTACATGTAGGGGCAAATAGCTTGAGTTATGTATACTTCTGTTGCTTGCAGCTTAAAAATGCACTCCCCCAAAGGAAGCTTATTCCCAAGACTGATGGCCAAGAGCCAGAATAATTGCTGGAAGGGCCGGGCATGTTGGGGCTGCAGCTGAAATGAAACTTTGTTTGTAAGCCAGGGCTCACCACCTCCCCACTCCCTTTGCAGTCTGATGGTTAAGAAATATCTGATCCTACAAGCTAGCTCTGGCTTCTTGTGGTGAGTTGTCTGCTCCTCCCAATCAAGCCATGATCATTTTTCTTCATCTTCCATGTAATGGAAAAGCTGAAATCCCACTATACTTCACATCATGTAACTCAAGAGTTCCTCAGTTAAGAGTGCTGGGGTCAGATACACAGTCTGTGTGGTTAGGCTTAGTCCCCTGGAATCGATGGGCTATGTTATGTATCACCATCTGTGTTGCCACTTCTGTTTTGTTTTAGCTAGATAGAGACAAAGAAAATTTTATTCTTTGCCTACCAACTGATGGTTCTT